AGCAGAGCTGTGTAGTGAGGTGGCTTCGTCAGTAAAGTGCCTGTTGGACAAGAACGGGAGCCTCGATTGATCTCCGTTGCCAGGGGGGCAGGGGCTGATGTGGTGCTGCTCTTCCAGAGAGCCCAGGTTTGGTTCCAGCACCACATCACGTAGCTGACAGTGACAACTGCCTGTCACTCCAGCTCTGGGGGAATCTGACTCCTTCCAGGGACACCTGTACAACTCTTCCCCAGAATATACACATAATAAATAATATACACATATAAAAATAACTGGTGCAGTTACCCAGAGTGATCCCGGCACTGGGAAAATAGAGACAGGATCCCTGGGGTTCTCTGGCCAGGTTGTCTAGCTGAGTTTTAGTGAGCTTAGGTTTAGAAAGAAATTATGCCTTGAAAATAAAGTTGGGTGGCAAGTGAGGACAATGACCCCATGCACGTGCACACTTGCACCACAGACAGAAGTTAGCCTGGTTTGTGCAGTAGACCCTGTCAGAGCAAACTTAGGAGTGTTATATTAAATATACAACTCTTACTTTGTGGTTGGGGGCTGGGGTGGACCAGGGTTCTGGAGCACTGTAAGGTCCTGGCGACAGGCTCTGGTAGGGTGGGGGGCGGCTAACAGTAGGGACAGCCCTGCCCCTCAGCCTGTTCTGTGGTGGGGATGTGCTCTAGGGACTGTGCCGCCTCAGCTGGCTTGGATGGAAGGAGTGGGAGCCCTGTCATTTTGCCACCTCTCCCAACTCCAGGATTCCATGCCTGAGGTCCGGCAGAGCTCCTTCGCCCTTCTGGGAGACCTTACCAAAGCCTGCTTTATCCACGTCAAGCCCTGTATCGGTAGGCTACCCCCTTTGCCCTATTCTGTGGCTCCTGCACTGGATGGCTTCCAGAGATGGAGGCATGCCCTGGGAGGCCCATGACTGGACTGGGATGTATTTGTACTGTCTGATGGGCTGCCCAGCCAGTTCTGGGAGCGTGGCCTTAATGGTGTTTCTGCTCAGTCTTTTCTTTTTCTGCTCTTCTCTTTCCATTAGCTGAGTTCATGCCTATCCTGGGCACCAACCTGAACCCGGAGTTCATCTCTGTCTGTAACAATGCCACCTGGGCCATTGGGGAGATCTGCATGCAGATGGGTGAGTGTCCTGAAAGTGGCATACTACCTTTTCATTGGTCTGTTTCTATTCCGGGGCCAGAGCTTGATTCTCAAAGGACCCTAAGGGAATGCCTCTGATTGGCCAGGGACAAGAACATGCTTTGATTTCCCTGACAGGTGAAATCAAATAACTAAAAGGTGGAGTAGATGGTCTGTTTCTACTGGACCATCTCATGTAATTGTCTTCCTGAAAGGCCCAGTGGGATCAGTTGGGTGATTTTGGCCTCCTCACCTTGTGGGTAGTGACTTGAGAGAGTCCTTTAGGTGGGTCTGTTGTGTCTGTGGACTTCACTGGGAGCATCCCGAGGAGGCTCTTTGTTTACTCAGGCTTTGTGGTGCACCCGTCTGCATGGAACTGGGGACATGGACTGAAGTCGGCCATACCCAGCTGGCCTTTGTGGGTGGAGTGGGCCATGCAGGGCTCTGAATGGCTGGTCCCTAGGGGCAGAGATGCAACCCTATGTGCAGATGGTCCTCAACAATCTGGTGGAGATCATTAACAGGCCCAACACACCCAAGACACTACTGGAAAACACAGGTGAGTGCCAGGCCTAGCCTGAGAGGGGAGAGTTCCAGGAAGGGTGTCAGTACTTGAAATGGGATTCTGGGAGGAGCCCACGAAAGAGTCCTGGCTTTAGAATATGTGGGAAGAGATCCAGGCTGGGCAGGGAGGACACCTGGATGGGCCAAACTCAAAGGCCCAGGCTAGCCACAGGGTCGTTCAGTTGGGGCCTGTGGGGCGGGGCTCGGTGCCTCCTGTCAGAGGCCCCGCCACGTACCGTCCCGGGGCCACTCGGGGTTGCAGGTCGCCTGACGAGTCCCTCTGCCATTCCAGCCATCACCATCGGCCGCCTGGGCTACGTGTGCCCACAGGAGGTGGCACCCATGCTGCAGCAGTTCATCCGGCCTTGGTGTGTGCCTGCCTGGGTGGGGCCTGCTGGGGGTGGGCAGGACAGCTGTGCTCCCCAGCGCCACCCCCATGGATGCATGTGGGAGACCTCTACCCACGGACACCCCCCCCTTCCCTCTGTCCATCCTTCATCTGTGCTTGTCCAGCCCCAAGTGCACCCACTGACCTGCTGCCCTCCTCCATGGCCAGGTGCACGTCCCTTAGGAACATCCGGGACAACGAGGAGAAGGATTCTGCCTTCCGAGGCATCTGCATGATGATTGGTGTCAATCCTGGGGGTGTTGTGCAGGTCCGGGCAGTGGGGCTCAGAGGGCAGGGCGGGGGGCTGGCTTGGGCGGCCCCTCACACGGGATCCGTCATGTTTCAGGACTTTATTTTCTTCTGCGATGCTGTAGCCTCCTGGGTGAGCCCGAAGGATGACCTTCGGGACATGTTTTATAAGGTGAGGCTCTGGCTGGTCCCATGGGGTCCTGGGGAGTGGATGCCACAGGCTTGCCCCAGCCCATTGTCCCCCTGCCTCACTGCAGATCCTCCACGGCTTCAAAGACCAGGTCGGGGAGGAGAACTGGCAGCAGTTCTCCGAGCAGTTCCCACCGCTGCTCAAGGAGAGGCTGGCGGCCTTCTACGGGGTCTAGGTGAACGTGGAGACCACAGGTGAGCAGGGCTTCCGGGTCTCAGGCCTGTCAGTGAAGAGGACGCAGGCCCTGACTCCCCTCCCCCTCTCTCCCCTGCAGGTTTCTGTCTGCGTCATCGTCGGAGGGTGTGCTGGGGAATGTGCTGCTTCCAGAAGTCACTGTGCCCTGGTCCAGGGGGGTTAGGGAGGAGTGAGTGGGACCTAAATCCAGATGCTACCTAGTCCGTGCATCTGTCCATCTGTTGGTCCACTTGCCCCGCCGGGCCTGACGAGTGGGCAGGTGGATGGGGACTCCATGCTCATCCTACAGATAGGGAGGGGGGTGGGACTTCGTGGTGGGAAGAGCCCTCCAGGCTCTAATTTGGGTCATCTCAGGCAGCCCATCTGGGCCAGCCATGTGGGAGGGAGGAATCCTAAGGCCTACCAAATCCGGTGTCAGATAAGGCAAGGGGATTACAGGTGGGGAGGGGGGTTCCTTGTAGAGAAGCATACACTCACATGTACACATGTGGACACGCATGTGCGGGCACCACAGCCAGCTAGGCTGGGCCAGCCGCCCCACCATTTCCTCGACTGCATGGAGACAGTAGAATTAGTGAACTCCCAAATTATGCCTATGGCCTTCTGTGTACCTTGCATCTAGAGTATAAGAAGCTTCCGCTGTTTTGCCGGAATTGGCGGTGATTGGGAGGGCTGGGAGGTTTGGGGGACCTCAGCTGGGCCCCCAGGGCCAGGGAGGAGGGCGGTCATTTTGGGGCTGCCCCGCACTTGCACACTTTGGACCTGCTCCATACACTTCCTGCCAGCTTCATGGCAGCCGCATCTAGTGTCCCCATCTTTGTCACATCCCAGCCAGCATAGGGTGGGGACCATTCATTGGAGCAGCGGGGACTGGCTGGAGGCTACCCTAGACCCTTTCCCTGTGCTCCAGAGGTATTTAAAGGCACAGGCCTGGGACTAATTTTCCTTAGAGAGCTAAGGGCAGCCAGAGCTGCCAGCATGATTTCCTGGATCTCTCTTGAAACAGCTTCAAGGATAGTCCAGCTCTCTGCTCCTGAGAACTCCCTTCTCAAGAGCTAGAGCAACAGCATGTGATTGGTGAGGACAAAGGACAAAGGTTTACTGGGTCCAGCAAGATTTGAAGGCTAGGGGGCGCAGAGTATACCAGGGCCTCAAACTTTGTCCCTTTTGGGACTTAATGTTCATCACCGTGTCCACTGGACTCAGACACCCCTCCCCCGCCCCCACCAGATTAGTACACTGACTCTAAAAATCCTTGAAGAAATTGGTGGGGGATGCCATCAAAATGGGAGGGGCTTTCTGAGAGGAGGGTGTGTGTGATTATTTTCAAATCGGCTGTGGAAATCAGCCTTGCAAGATCCCTGAACGATTTTCCTCCATCCCCTTTCTTGCTTCCTACTTCTTTGGGAGCCCATTATATTTTGGGCTTTGACTGGAGTTCTGCATCTTAAGGCCTGCTCCATCATCCCTCTGAGGACCTGGACCTTATCCCATCCAGGCCATGTGTCTTCTCTCAAGTAGGGTCAGGCCCTACCTCTATTCCCAGGGACACTTAGTGCACATTCCATAACTCAGCTAGTGGTCCCCATCCCCTCCAGCCTCAAACTTGAGCAGGTCTCTGGAAGCCATTTGTAGGGAAAAAAACTTTTTTTTAAAGAAAAAAATACCATTAGCTTTCTGGTAATTCCACTTCTTTGGAGCATCCTCTGCTGGGTCTTGGGGTGTATTGATGGATTGACTGACTGTCTGATGGAGTTGTGACTCCCTCTGCCCAAGGTGGGGGTTCCAACTAACTTCAGGAAAGGGGAGCCCAATTCTTGTATTTTCCCTTTTTTTATTTTATTATTTTTTAAAAGAAATTATTTAATTCTTTAATTTATTTTTTAGTTGGTTTTTGCACAATAAGTTTCAGTTTCTTAACCTTCTTTGCCCAGGGCTGCGGACACAGACTGACCTTGATCTGCAGCCCCCCCACCCCCCTGCCCTACCCCCATTTCCCTGAGTCTTTCATTACCATTACCCTGTGGGCTCCCAGGTCTCTCCATCTGTTCCTGTGCTGTGCTGGGGACTGGCGCCTAGGTGGCGTGAGATTCCACTTGTGTAGAACTTTGTTGAGTAAAGGTCAGTTTCTTGTGAAACCCTTGGTGTCTGGTTTCCTAGTCCTTGGTTTTGGTGGTAGAGTGGTGTGGATGTGGGCTTCTGTGTGACTCCAGTGCTGTGGGAGTAGTGGTAGGAGAATCATGGGCTCTGGGAGGAATGAGGAGAGAACAATAGAGCAGGATACCTGAGGTATCCAGGACTTAGTTGGTCCTGGTGGGCTACCTGATTGAGGCAGGAGGATATCAAGTTTGAAATCAGCCTGGGTTGATTGAGACATTGTCTCAAAAAGGGGCTAGTAGCTAGCTTAGCTAGAGACCTAAAGCCCTGGCTTTAATTCCCAGTAAAGTTGAGTGACCAAGGAAACCTGTTTTTGTCTTTGTAGTGTGGGAAGGTGAGTGTGAAAGGGTGATTAGATGTTCTCTGTGATTAATAACCCAGTAAAGGGCTGCCATGCATTAAACCTAACTGCAAAGCCTTATAACAGACACAACTTTGGGTCACTGGGCAGGCTAGAAATTCTTGGAGATACTAAAATAAGAATAGCTGGCTAAGCGGTGGTGGGGCCTGCTTTTAATCCCAGCACTCGGGAGGCAGAAGCAGGTGGATCTCTGAGAATCAAGGCCAGCCTGGTCTACAGAGTGAGTTCCAGGACAGCCAGGGCTGTTGTACAGAGAGACCTTGTCTCGAAAAACCAGAAAAGGAAGAAAAACAAAGCAAAACTGAATGTGACAGTGTACACTTTTAATTCAGCTACTTGGAAGACTGAAGCAGGATTGTTGTAAATCGAGACCAGTGTGAAGTTCTCAGAAAAGCCTTTTATGCCAGCCATGTTGGCTTACACCTTTAATGCTAGCATTTGGAAGTCAGAAGCAGGCAGGTGAATCTCTTGAGTTTGAAGCTAGCTTGGTCTATATAGTGAGTTTGAGACCAGATGGGGCTACATAAATGTGAGATCCTTAGAACTAAGGGGAAAAAGATCACTTATGTGTTAAGGTTCTACATGACCAATTAGGAATTTGTGATTGTGGGTAGCTGTACATTGTAGATGCAAAATTATCCATTAGTCCTTAATAACCATTTATTGCTCACATCTGTGTCTGATCTAATGTTATTTGGGGCAACCTGAGTCAGAGTTCCTGGGCCATTGTCATTCAACCCAAAAATAAACTTAATCTCTTGGAGCTTAATTGATGAAGTGCTTGCTGGTCACGGTTGAAAACCTAAGTTAGGATTTCCAACACCACATAAATGTTGGGGACAGGAGAGCATATCTAACTCCAGAGCTGAGGAACAGAAATGGATGTATCCCTAAAACTCACCCTTTGAGCCAGCATAGCTGAAATGAGTATTAGTGACAGACCTGTTTCAAGATAAATGGTGGGGAGCAAGAGAATTGACTCAGCACATAACGGCATTTGCTGCCTGGTGACCTAAGTTTGATTCCCTCTAGAACCCACCTAAAGGTGAAGGAGAACTGCCTCCACAGAGTTGTTCTCTGGCCAGTACATGTATGCTGTGGCACGTAGAAGCACACACCTCACAAAATTCAGGACAACAAAAAACTAAGATGTGGGCTGTTGAGATGATTCAGAAGCTAAGCACACTGGCTGTTCTTCCAGAGGTCCTGAGTTCAATTCCCAGCAACCACATGGTGGCTCACAGCCATTTGTAATGAGATCTGGTGCCCTCTTCTGGCCTGCAGTCATACATGCAGACAGAGAACTGTGCAAAATAAATCTTAAAAAAAAAACAAAAACAAAAACACTAAGGTGTAGATTGAAGAAGACACCCTTCCTCTTTCGACCTCAGGCTTCTGAATGCATGCAAAGCACAAACTCCCCGGGCTGGGCTGGAGTGGTTGATAGTCCAGTGGTTAAGAGCACTTTCGGCAAGGTGTGGAGCATGCCTTCAACTGCGGCACTCGGGAAGCAGAGGCAGACGGATCACTGAATTCGAGGCAATCCCGGGTTACATGGTGAGACCAAGTCTAAAAGCACTTGGTCTTGCAGAAGACCTAAGGTGCGTTTCCGGCACCCACACCAGGCGGTTGTCGCCCTGTATCCCCAGCTTTAAGGGATCCCAAACACATAAAAGTAAAAATAAATCCTTAAAAGCAACAAAAGACTTCCTTTGAGATGACAGTCGCACAACCAAAAGAAGTGACCCACTTGCGATTTAGACATCCGGTTTCCGTGCTAGTATCCCGGCTTCTGACGTCACCTAAAAAGCGCCGGAAATGACCTCGCGCTGCCTAGGAAACAGGACGCTGCCCAGTGGTAGCCAAACCTGGGACAGCCGCACCCACCCTGTCGCCATGGAGCTTCCCTCAGGGCGGTGCGGGGATCCTCGCTCTTGTGACGAAGAGTCGGACCCCGAGCCAGACCCGGACCCTGACGCTCAGGCTGAGGCCTACGTAGCCCGTGTGCTTACCCCACCCAAACCTGGCCTGACCCCGCGGCGCTCGTCGCTGCAGTCCACGCTCTCCGCGTCCCTGGGCGCGCCCGAGCGAAAGGCTGCCTCCAGAGTCCCGGCCGTGCGCCTGCCGGGCCTGCTGAGCCTTCCCCCGGAGCTGCTGCTGGAGATCTGCGCCTACCTGGATGCGCGGGTCGTGCTCCATGTCCTGCCGTGCGTGTGCCAAGCACTGCACGACCTTGTGCGTGATCATGTCACCTGGAGGCTACGCGCTCAGCGCCGCGTACGCGCACCCTACCCAGTGGTGGAAGGTACGCACACCTCGGGCAACAGGAACTCCTGCCCAGGTCAGGCTTGGGGTGGGAGAAAGAAGTACCTGGTCTGCGGGTGCGCACAGCTTCTGGTGCAGGCTTCGAGGCTGTCCCAGGTCTGACTGTAGGCGGAGGAAATTTCGGATCTTGCCTAATCCTTAATCTGCCACAAGGCAAATACTTGACTTTCTCAGGCAGAGCTCTGAACCTGAGCTCTCTAAACTTAGAATTTAAAGATTCCCCGTTTTGGGCTTTGTTAGCACTAAGGCCCTAGCCCTGATGGGGATAACTCTAGGACTTTTTGGATTGTTCTTGGAGTGAAAATGTGTCCAAAGACTCCTCAGGCTCTGGATACAGCCTGAGACACAAGCAGCAACTGGCTTAACAAAGCCCCCAGGATAGGTGAAGCAGAGGTTCTGAATCTCTAGATTCCCAAACCTGAACTAGTGTCGGGATTTAGAAGTTGGGATCGTTGATACCAGTAAAAGTTGATACCTGAGTCTAGCCTGTCATCTTTTTTATTTTTTATTTTGAGACAGGTTCCTGATTCTCCTTCTTTGGCCTTAGAAGTGCTGGGCTAGCCTGTCAGCTTTGCAAAGCTGTTGTGTTATTCCTTCTGCCCCTGAGTTCATTGGTTTGTGGAGGAAAAGAAAACTTGAAATTGATGATTTTGAGTTTTTGTCTTTTTTAAATTTTTTTAAAAGGGTTATATGTATGGAACTCAGAGCTTTGGGTATGTTAGGCAAATGCTTTATTTGCCATGTGCTACATCCTCAGCACAACCTTGAGACAGTGTTGATCCTGATGTCACTGGGTCCTTAGGCTCTTGAGACAGACACATGGCAAGCTGAATGATTGATTCTGCAGACTTCTGGATTAGGGAGTTGACCTCCAACCCCCAGTCAGATTTCCAAACAGCTTTGATAAAAGCCGGTGCTTGAACCTCATCCAAGCCATTGAATGGGCGACCTGGGGTTTAGAATCTGTCTTGGGAGGGATGGGGAACTATTAGGAATACCCAGGGCCCTGTGCTTCCTAGGTAAGTTCTCAACTGCCAAGCCATCCTTTCCACCCCTTGGCTTCTGTGTCTTGATGTGGCTTCCTGGTTTACAGTTAGAAGTTTAAGAACTGTGTTCGACTGGGCGGTGGTGGCACACAGTTTTAATCCCAGCACTTAGGAGGCAGAGCCAGGCAGATCTGTGTGAGTTTGAGGCCAGCCTGGTCTACAGCGTGAGATCCAGGACAGGCACCAAAACTACTCAGAGAAACCCTGTCTAGAAAAACAAACAAACAAAAAAAATGAACTGTGTGCCTGAGTCTGGGTCAGGTGGCTAAGGCCAGAAGGGTTGGTTTAGTCTTGAGGCCCTGAAGAGGACTGAGGGTGAGGCTGTTCCTAGTCCTCCATGGAAGATGGGTGGTGAGATCGTCTGAGGCAAGGCCAGAGTCTGTGCCTGCTGAGGGTGGGGGATGGCATCCAGGTGGCACTCTATGCAGGTCTGGAGAAGGTTGGGCTTCCCTGGCAGCCAGGGCTGGACTCTCTCAGCTGATGCCCACTGACTCTCCTGTTCATGGTGCCCCACAGAGGAGGACTTTGACTGGCCAGCCGCCTGCATCGAGCTGGAGCAGCATCTGGCCCGCTGGGCAGAGGATGGACAGCGAACTGAGTACTTCTGCCTGGCTGATGGTCACTTTGCTTCCATTGATGCAGTGTTGCTGCTGCAGGTAAGAGCATTAGGTGGGAGGCCAGGCGAGGTGAAGGGTGGGGGAACCTCAACATCTCCATGCTCTCCTGCCAGGGTGGGGCACTGTGTCTGTCAGGTTCCCGAGATCGCAATGTCAACCTGTGGGACCTACGACATCTAGGAAAGGAGCCTAGCCGAGTTCTGGTGAAGGCCTTGGGCACCCAGGGCAACAGCACACACAAGGTGAGCAATCCCCAGGGGCATTAGAGAGGCTGGGAGGGCGCTGCAGCTCGGGTTGGGTTTTGATGGCAGGTGGCATAGACTTGACTCTGTGCCTGCGCGTGGTGTAATTTTTGGTGAGTTCAGTTTTCCGGTGGGTGGTAAGATGAAGCTGGGTTAAGTATTAATGTGCATATGCCATAAATTCAGTCTTTGGCCCACAATAGGTGCTCAATAAGTTGTCAGGTATACCTCAAGAGGCCCCATGCGGAACAGTTATAAAGCCACCATTGGGGATCAGCTAGCCTTCAGTGTGACTACCCTTTCATGAGAAATGGCTGATAAATGACAGTTCTACCCATCCTTAAGGTGATCTGTGCCCATGACCAACAGATTGAGTGCTGAGTTCACATGTCCTGGCTGTGTGTTCTTGGGTGGGGGAGCAGCCAACCTCTCTGTATCCAAGTTATCAAACAGCATATGTTACTGTACCCTTCTCAAAGGGTTTGGCAGGAATGTCTTCGCCACATGCCAGCTCACTACACATAGTAACTGATAAGGTAGGAACTGCCCCCCCCCCATTTTTGTAAATAGAAATGGGAAGGCATTTGATTAGTTAGGTTCTAGAGTAGAAGCTGCACTTTTTTTTTTAATTAAAAATTTATGTGTGTGGGTGTTTTAGCTGCAGGTGTGTCTGTGCATCAAGTGTACATCTGGTGCCCATGGAGGCCGGGAGAGGGCATTGGGTCCCTTGGAACTAGAGTTATAGGTGGTTGTGAGCTGCCATGTGGGTGTTGGGAATCAAACCTGGGTCCTCTGAAAGCTCATAAATGTTGAGCCATCTTTCTAGCCCTGGAGGCTGCATTGTTAATCCAGTTGTTTGAGGCCTCAAACCTCCATTAATGTGGGCCTCTGGAGGCCTTGACTTAGACCGTGATGGCTCATGCCTGTAATACCAGCACTGTCAGGAAGCTAAAGGCAGAGGATTATTCTGAGTTGGAACTAGCCTGTGTATTCCTTTAGCCTTTAGCAGACTCTGTGGGTATCTTGTAATAAACCTGAGCTACATAATGAGCTCCGGGCCAGCCTGGACTGTAGTCAGACTCTTTCGAGAGCAGAAGAACAAAAACAAGCTATTGAAAACTGCTAGAGTGTAGCTCAGTGATACAGCACTTGCCTAGAATGTGTTGAGGCTCTGGATTCTATCTTAGCACAAAGTGAGGGGTGAGGGGCACTGAGAGAAAGAGTGAGAGGTCTCTCTAGACACCACTGAGGATGTGTGTTCTTGTCCCCAGGTTCTGACAGGCTTGCAGACCCAAGCCCTGTCCTCCCGCACTGGGATTTGTTGAGTTCATTAGTTGTTTTCTCCCCTTCTGACCCTTCGTTTTGTTGTCTGTGGGAAGGGATGTTTACATAGAGTGGGAATTATGTTCATTACTGAAGAGTTTGTGGAAGTGGCCATGAGGAGGGAAATGCTGTTTGGCTTGGAGTAAATCTGTTCATCTCTTGGATCCTTCTCTGCAAAAGCAGGAAGGTCCAGACTTTTTCTTGGGCTTTGGGGAGGAGAAAGCCATGAGCTGTTGTACAGCTCTTAAAGTGTGTTGTCTTATGTGATGGTTGTGTCTGCTCCCACAGGGCTGGGTGTGGTCGCTAGCAGCACAGGATCACCATGTGTGCTCCGGCTCTTGGGACAGCACTGTGAAGCTGTGGGACATGGCAGCTGATGGGCAGCAGTTTGGCGAGATCAAGTGTGAGGGGGCCCGGGCAGGGGGCCTGGGTGGGTAGGGCCCTGCCCGGGCCATCACCCCAGCCTTGTGTGCCGTGTGTCCCCAGGGGCAAGGCGGCAGTGCTGTGCCTCTCCTACCAACCTGACATCCTGGTGACTGGCACCTATGACAAGAAGGTGACCATCTATGATCCCAGAGGTGAGTTTTAATTCTAGTGCTTAGAAGGCAAGCAGATATCTGTGAGTTCAAGACCAGCATGGTCTACATAGTAAGTTCCAGGCCAACTGGGGCTACACAGTGAGACCCTGGCTCAAAAACAAAACAAAAGAAACACAAAACAACAGAAAAGAACTCTGGGGTTGGGGTGGGGGCAGGGGCTGAAGAGATGGCTCAGCAATTAAGAGCACTGGCTGTCCCTCCAGAGGACCTGACAACCACCTGAAACCACAGTTTAAGAGGATTAATTGCCTTCTTCTGGCCTCCATGGGCAGTGTATGCGTGCCATGCACAGACATACACATGTAGGCAAAACACCCATACACGTAAGATAAAAAAGGAATCTCAAAAATGAAAAAAAAAAAAAAAAAAACCAACATTGAGTCATTCAAACAAAGACCATTGGTGGGTGACATAAATCTGACTGCACTGTGATACGTTGTTCTCATTGCGGAGACTGAACCTAGTGCCTCCTTCATGCTAGACAAGTGCTTTGTCCCTGAACTGTGTTCATCTTGAGAGGGAATCTCACTGCCTTGCCCAGACTAGCCTCAAACTCACTCTTTAGCTTAGGCTGGCCTCCACCTATTAATCTTCCTGTCTCAGCCTCCAGGTTCCTGAGTAGTTGGGATTACAGGGCTGCACCATGAGGCCTGACTGATGATTAATCTCCCCTGCCCCCATCCTGGGATGGAAGCCAAGGCCTTGTGCTTGCTAGGCTATTGCTTAGCTGCTGAGCTCTATCCCCACCCAGCCATGACTGAGTCATCGTACTCCACTAAACTGAAGGGATCCTGAGACGGACGCGGCTTGGGTGGAGTGACGTGCTTGGCTGTGTTGGGAGGGACTGCTGGGGTCGGAAGGGACAGTGGCATGGAGGCAGGGGCCAGGAAAGGACAAAAGCCTGTGGGTCCTGATTCAGGTGGCTGCTGAGGGGAGGGGAGCGATCAGGTGCGAAGCTGAGCAGGTGGGAGGTTTTCCCAGGTGAGATGGTGGCCCAGATCCTCAGGTGGGCCCGAGTCTCTGAAGGGCTCTGATATCCTGCCCCCGGCCCATCACCCCACTCCAGCCGGCTTGGCCCTGGTGAAGAGCCGCAGGCTGCACTCGAGCGCTGTGCTGGCAGTGTTGGCAGATGACAGGCACATCATCTCAGGCAGTGAGGACCACAGTCTTGTGGTGTTTGATCGCCGAGCCAACAGCGTCCTGCAGCGGCTGCAGGTGGGTTGCCCTTCCCAGCGGCTCCCAGGGGGATTGCAATGCGGCTTGCCATTTCTGAGCTGCTCTGTGCCTTGTCCTTCCCACAGCTGGATTCCTATCTGCTCTGCATGTCCTACCAGGAGCCCCAGCTCTGGGCGGGTGACAACCAGGGCCTGCTGCACGTCTTCGCCAACCGAGATGGTTGCTTCCAGCTTGTCCGGGTCTGCTGGGACCCCTGTCTGTGCCTCCCCTGTGACTCCTTGGGTGTGGAGGGCTAACCATGGGAGAGCTCTCCCTGAGTGTCATCCATCCTCTCTCCCTAGTCCTTTGACGTGGGTCACCAGTCTCAGGTCACAGGGATCAAACACTCGCTGGGGACTTTGTACACAACATCTACTGACAAGACCATTCGGGTGAGAACACTGGCCCATGCACCCCCCTACCCAAACTGCCCGGGTCACGTATCCTGACCTCTGCCTGGTACCCTTCTCAGGTTCACGTGCCCACAGACCCACCCAGGACCATCTGTACCAGAAGCCACCACAATGTGTTGAATGGGGTAAGGTCCTGCCCCATGTAGCCTGCTGGCCTACCAAGAGCCCCCGCCGTCCCCTAAATCCCTTGTCACTACTCCCCAGATCTGCGCTGAGGGTAACGTGGTGGTGGCTGCCTCCGGTGGACTGTCACTGGAGGTCTGGAGGCTGCTGGCCTAAACAGCAGGACATGGCCGTGGACGGCTGTTGGTATATCTATACTGCCTGCTGAGGCTGCCCTGAGCCTCAGCTCTGGAGGACCTTCCTGCTATTGGTGCTGCTTCTGCCCTGCTCCATGGGCCTGGGGCACAGGAAGACCTAGGGCTGGGCCCACACCTGTGCCTGTGGAGGTGACATTCTAGTTTTAGCCACCCAGGGGCCTATTCCCTACCTTCCACCCCTGGATTGTTTTGTTTTGTTCATTGAGACAGGGTCTCATGTAACCCAGACTGGCCTCATACCCACTATGTTTTTGAGGCAGGTCTTGAAGCCTGATCCTCCTGCCTAAATCTCCACGTGTTTGGATAACAGGCTCACCCCCATGCCCGGATGATCCCTGTTTTGTCAGGATTTGGGTGCCTCTCTCCCACAGGAAAGTGAAGGAGAAATAAACGACCCACTGTGCAGTTGTTGGGAACTGGAGTGTGAGCTTTCTGTGACCGCAAGTCTGTGCCTTTTTGGGGTTGTACACGTGACTGAGTGGGAAGGGCAGCATGCTGGGGCTGGGGTGCTGCTGCTCAGTGTGTGCACTCACGGACCATGGACGCTTGGTCTGATGTAACTCAGTCGCGGGCTTGTGGGCTATGTGGCATGTAGCCTCTGACTCAAATTCCCAGTGTAGGTCTATATGGAGGGAGTAGACATCTGCCCCAACCACCCTGTAGGCATGTGGCAGGGGGCCATAGTGCAGGTCTCTTCATGCAGGGCTCTTGGTGTGCAGATTTGTGCGGCTGTGACTGTGGAAATGGGCATAGAAGGAAGCCTGACAGGTGTGCACCGATGCCCAAAAGCTGTGGTACCCCTCAGCCTCCCACTTCAGCACACACAAGTCGTAACACAGGAGCAATCATGTTTATTGAGGCCCTTCTTCCTGTGGTATCCAGGGTCATGGGGCAGTAGCATTATTATGGGTTCATAGGATAGCACAGGGCTTCTTTTCCTTGAAAGGGTTGGTGGCAGCTGGGATGCCCACAAGGAAAGGGTCGCTCTTGGCCTGCTCTGTGCAGAACTGCAGCAAATCTGTGGCTGCCTTGGACACCTGCAGACCAACCAAGTCAGCCACCTCTGGGTGCCCACCTGCCCCTTGCCCAGCTGTGCCCACGCCAAGCCACCTCTGGGTGCCCACCTGCCCCTTGCCCAGCTGTGCCCACACCAAGCCTGCCCAACCCTCACCTGTATGCGGTTGATGCCCGCCTCCATCCGCAGTTGCTCTACCGCCCGGCGGGCCTGTCCGATGTCACTGCCAGTGGCCACTTTGCTGGACATCTGGGAAAAGGTGAGCAGGGCTGTGCAAGCCTGAGTGCCAAGCTTCTGCAGCTCCTTCTGGGTCCCTGGCTGTTCCTGGTTTCCGCACGTTCAGATACCTCAGCTGAAGACTCCCGAACACGCTTGGCTGCCTGCTCCAGCCTCAGCTACCCCACTCTGGCTCCCTTCTCAATACTGGCCTCAACACTTCAACCCCCAACCCCCACCCCTTTCCAGTCCCTGCAGAGACTTTGAAGCCAGGATCCAGTGAAATGTCACCAGCAACAGCAGCAGCAGCTGCTGGGACAGAAGGGGTCCGTTCCCCAGGAGGCCCAGTGGCTGCTTTGGTGTCACATGTTTCTTGGATCTCCTGGGGCACTAGGCAGCTTGGCTGCAGGCCTGAAGGATGTTGGGACTCTGACTTGCTAGATATCTGTGGACTGTCCCCACCAGACTCCCCTCCTTGCCTCTGCCACCCTTTGCAGGCTTTGTGTACCCTGGCTCGACTCTCTCCTGAACTCCAGACTGTCTTTTTAATAACTCTTCCCCAACTCCATTTTTTTTTTTTTTTTTTTTTT